AGCAGTCACCGTTTCAATCCACCTGGTTGAGGGTCTTCCTTTCCTTCACCGACCCTCCACCCTCCTCAGCCTCATGACTCTTTCCAAGCAACATGCCCAAAGTATGTGAGGCGAAGCCTCATCAATCTTGTCTCCAAAGAGCACTAAGGCAGCACCCTCTCCAAGACATAGCTGTTTGTTCTTTTTGCCGTCCAGGGATGTCCATGCTCTTCTGCAACTCCACAGCTCAAAGGTGTCAGTTCTCTTCTTGTCATCCTTATTCATTGTCCAACTTTCAGATGTATAGCAAGTGATTGGAAAGACTATGGCCTGAATCAGATGTACCTTAGTTCTCAAACTGACATCATTACTCCTCCATGATTTACAAAGGTACCTAACTGCAGATTTTCTCAGGGCAGCATGTCTCCTTATTTCTTGACTGCGGGTACCAAGTGTGTTATTTGTGGATCCAATTAAGAGGAAGTTGTTGACAGTTTCAATCTCTGCTTATCGCTCCAGTGGTAAGAATCTTTATTTTATTGATATTGAGAATGAGAAGCAGTCCATAACGAAGGCTGCATTCCTTGATCTTCTGTAACAAGTGGTTCAAGTTCCTCCTTCCTTTGAGCAAGCAAGATTGTGTTACCAGCATAATGCAGGTTATTGATGAGTCTTCCTCCAATCCTGATGCCACATTCCTCTTCATAGAGTCCAGCTTCTAGGATAATTTGTTCAGCATACAGATTGAATAGGTGTGGAGGGGTAATATAACTCTGATGCACCTTTCCCAATTTTAGACCATGCAGTATTTCCCTGCTCTGTTTGCACAACAGCCTCTTGGTCCAGGTATAGGTTCTGCATGAGCACAATTAAGTGTTCTGGGATTCCCGTTCTTCTCAATGTCAGCCACAGCTTGTTGTGATCCACACAGTCAAATGCCTTTGTGTAACCAATAAAACACACGTAAGGTTAAATTTTTATTATAATTGCCTGCCTTTATATCTTTTACTAGTTTTTAACTCTTGTGGACCTATTCTAGTAGAAATAAAGTGCCTCATTGTCCACTTTCTCACTGGTTAACCAGTTTTCACAGAAACATTTACTACCAGTTTGAATGCTTCCTTTAGAATATACTTATGAGGGTCTATTTCTGGACTCCTCTACTCCCACCTCCAAGGAATCTTTTAGAGAATTGAAATCCAGCTTCTGCAACGGCTTTGAGAGACCATTGTTTAATCATTACAGTATTAATTCATGATCAGGGTAGAAAATGGGGAAATGCACAAAAATTAAAATCTTTATGATGACTTTTATAACACAACTACTGTAACAATTTTGTTATGTGAAATTATGCTGTAAAGAACCTTGTTTTACCCTATTTAAAGTGGCCTTTGTCCCTGATTCTGCAGAAATAACCTTTGGATAATTGGAATGTTTAGGACATTCCACACCTGAAAATTTGTCCTGGGGAATGGAGCTAGCCAGACCAGAAGAGGCTCACCTGGGAGACCAATTATCATTTCTTGTGGTCTAGTGATAAGACATTGCAGTGCAATCCCAGTGACACATAATTCAAGCCCACCAGCTGCTCATGGAAGAAGGATGATATTATTCGCTTTACAAACTCTGAAAACCTGCTGGAGGGTGAGTAGGGTCAGCTGTGGGTCAGTTTCAACAACAATATAGAGTAAAATCCTGAACACCAGAGACTCAGAGGGCTTCCTGGTTGACTGGAGAACATCTGTTCTTGGAAAGATGGCAAACACTTTGGGACACAGAAGCTTTGTTCTGGGAACACTCTCACAGCTCACTCCATGCTCACTCCATTTTTGCTTTAATCCTTTTTGGCTATAATAAATCTGTAGTCCTAAATATGGCACAAAACCAAAAATGTGCTGATTCTGACTCATGGTGACCCATGTGTTCATAGAGTAGAATATGTAGGGTTTTCTCAGTGTATTCTTGACAGGGCAGGTAGTCAGGACTTCTGTGGCAGAGCTGGATGTGTTCAAACCACCAACATTATTTATTTTGGAAGTTGAGTGCAATGTGTTTGAACCACCCAGGGACTTTAAGGTTGAGTATCTATAGCTCTAACTCAAAGCAACTCTCTATACAATGAAATGGAAGGAACCCTGCTCAGTCATGTACTATCCTCACAACCTTTGCTCTGCTAGAGCCCATTGTTATGATTGTGTCATTCCATCTTGTTGAAGGTCTTTATCAGCTTCTCAGACCCTCAGCTTTACCAGGCATGGTGTCTTTATCCGAGGATTGGCCCCTCCTGACAAAGTATGTAAGAGGAAATCTCACCGTCCTTGCTTCTAAGGAGTATTCTGGCTGCACTTTTTCAAGGATAGACTGGTTTATTCGGACATCCATGGTACATTCAATATTCTCCGCCGTCACCACAATTCAAAGGTATCAATCCTTTAATTTTCTTTATTCATTATCCCACCTTCATATGTATATGAAACAATTGAAAATACTATGGGTTGGGTCAGATGCACTTTAGTCTTTAAAGCAACATCCTTGCTCTTTAGCACTTTAAATAGATTTAGCCAATGCAGTATTTCATTTCTTGACTGCTGCTTCCATGAATATTTATTATGGATACAAATAAAATGAAATCTTTGACAACTGCAACCTTTCCTCCACTTATCATAATCATAATATTCTTTATTGGGCCAATAGTGAAGATTTTTTATTTCCTTTCTGTTGAGGTGTAATCCCTTGTTGTTGTTGTTAAGTGCTGTCGAGTCAAGTACAACCCATAGTGATCCTATGAACAGCAGATCTGAACCCTGTACTATCTTGTGCCATCCTCATACCTCCTGACACATTAGAGCCCATTGTGGCAGTCACTGTGTCAATCTACCTGATCAAGGATCTTCCTCTCCTTTGCCAACACTCTACCTTTCCAAGCATCATGTAGGGATAAGGAATTGCCGCTCCTAGCAACATGCCAGAGTATGTGAGGCAAAACCTAATCATCTTTGCCTCCAAAGAGCACTCTGGCTGCACCCTCTTCAAGACATATTTATTTGTTCTTTTGGCAATCCATATATGTTCAGTACTCTTCTCCAACACCATAGTTCAAAGGCATCAGTTCTTCTTTCATCCTTAGTCATTGTCCAGCTCTCAGATGCATACCAAGTGACTAGAATGACCATGGCCTGAATCAGACACACTTTAGTCCTCGAACTGACATCATTACTCCTCAGTAATTTGGAGAGGTCCCTAACTGCAGACTTGCTCAGTGCAGTATGTCTCCTGATTTTCTGACTGCTGGTACCAAGGGTTAATTGTGCATCCAAGCAAGATGAAGTTGTTCACAGTTTCAATCTTTTCTCCATCTATCATAATGTTGTCTCTTGGTCCAGTGGTTCAGTGTGGATCTTAATCCATATATAGTCTTTGAGCTTTATCAGTAAGATCTTTAAGTCTGATGTTAACTGTGGGATTTTTTTATCATTGTCCTTTATCCTGCTGAGGAATTTTCTTTCTTTTCTTTAAAGATGGTTACATTGTGTCACATATCTTTCTACAATAGTTGGAATGCTCTTCTTACTCTTGCTCTGTTATTGTGGTGTGTTATATTGAGTGTCTCATGTTGAACTATCCTTGCACTCTTGGGATAAATCCCACCTGAGCCTGGTGTATAATCCTTTAAAAGTGCTGTCACAGTTTGTGTTCTAGGCTTTTGTTGAGATCTCATCCATCTTTTTAAGCTCCATGGTGCCCCTGTGAAATCTAGCCTTCCATCCTTTAGTTATCACTACCTACCTTGAGGTTTTTTCATGATTCATGCCTTGTTATATATTGTTAAGAGATACACTCATAAGGATTTACTTTCTACATTGTAAATTCCTTGAATGATTGATATTGATATTTGTTACTCTGTAGTCTGTTCTTTTTTTCATGTAGTTCATTGAGCATAACATGATGACCTGATGACTGCAGAATCCATGTGTGTTGGTGCAGCCACTGGGCATGCTCACAGCTGACGGAAAGGTTGATGGCAACTTGGAAGGCAGGCCTGTGGTCGACTGTGGTCGACTCTGGCAGTCATATCCTGAGCACCTATGGAGCTCACCTGAAGCTTTCAGGAGGCAAATTAGTGACATTCAGACATTAGGTTTCTCTGGTCTGGGTTTGCCTCCTCTCCCTTTATTCCTTTACGTCTCTTGTTTTAGATTTGGGGGGAAAAATCCCAAATGATGATGAATTCTACATACATGAGATTAACGGGTCTTAAGGATGGTGTAATGGAAGCTCCTGCTTTGGTCTGGAGGGAGTGTCACCACTGACCCAAAGGCCATGCCTCGATGGTTCACATCTTTCAGTGACTTGTTGGGACAGAGATAGGCAGTCTCCTTCCTTGTGGTTTACAGCCTCACAGCCTGCCGGAGGATCATCTGTGAGTCAGTTCAGATACAGCGACATTGAGGGGGAGATGGTACAGTGTGTAAGGTATTAGACTGCTAACTGCAAAGTCAGAAGTTCAAACCTACCAGTAGTTCCCTGAAAGGAAGATGGACTGTCTCCTCCCTTTCTGTAAGTCTTTTGACTTGGAACCTCTGAAACTTGATGGAGGATTGCTTGGAGTCAGAATCAGCTTAATGACACTGGCCTTTTTTTTTTTTGTAGGTTTCAGAATGATAATAACTTGACATGCCTAGTGAAAAGAGCACTGAGCTAATACTGTTTTTGGTATTCTTGTTTTTAACTACATTGCAACCTTCCTAATCCTCATTTGATCATCTGAGAGGTCTAACTGTCTTTGCTTGTTTCAAGCAGGGCTATGAGGACCACTATGTGTTTTCAGGACCTTTGGGAGCAGGAAGACATTGTGTACACTTACACAATGTATACAGTTATAAAGACAGAAGAGGCTATGTTTATTTTTCCTCTTTTTCCTTGTTTGGATTTTGTAGATGTTAAAATGCTAGTTCATACCTGAGCAGGTAAGAACCCTGGATTTAAGGGGAGGAGAATAACAAGGCATGTTTGCTTTTCAGAGTCATCCTTTCTGCACTTCCACGATCCAGACTGCACGCCCAAGGGATCACCATCCTGCGACTCTTTGCTGTCACTCAACACGGAGAAGATTCTGGTACGCTTCTTCCAGCCGCCTTTTCTGTGTTGTTTGACCAGAGATGGAGTGGATGAGCTTCAGAAGATGTAGTTGGCTTCTGATTGTCAGCTAGATCCATTTAGCTTTATGCACATAAGACAAAGCTAGATCACTGTGTCACATTGCATTATTATCACTTGTGAGCGGAATTGTCAGTCGTTCTGACTGAGAGCATCGTGTATATCATGTTGTATAACATCAAGTCGGAACCAACTCAAAGCTGGTCCTCCAGCAGGTTTTCAGAGGCTGGAATTCTGTACAGAGGTAACGTGTGGTTGTTATAATGGTAAACACTGTCATACTGATGTGTCAAATGCAGTAATGGTTACCCATGGTAGACAGTCTTTGATGGAGCTTCAAATTAAAACAAACCTGGAAGCAGGAGTGACTTCCAATTATGAAATAGCTTAGCCCAGGAAACTATTTACTTAGAGAAACGATGAAAATTATGTTTTCGTTCATAGGGTTGCTATGAGTCCTCTATGATTCAATGGCACTTAACAACAAAAGTAATTCCATGGAGGAGATTGCTCATCCTCCTCCTTCAAGGCATTATGGCTGAATTTTGTTGCTGGTTGTCCCTATGTGGTGAGAACAGTTAAATGCTATGCTACCAAACAGAAGCTGGGAGTTCAAGTCTGTACAGAGGAGGCACGTGGGAAGAAAGAACTGGAGATGAACTTCCGAAAAATCAGCCATTAAAACCCAGTGACGTGGGTCTCTCTCTCACTCTTTTTTAATTTTATTGGTTATATTCTGTTTCACACTAGTCTTAATTCACATTGTGTTTCATACAATTATTCTCATGCATTATGTTTTATAAATTTATCACCGTTGGACCTTGCCCATCATTACCCTGTCTTTTCACCCGGATCCTCCCCATTTCTTTGATCCCTTCCTCCACCCACCACACTGTGCAACCTTGTGGTTTCGCCCCTACCCATTCTCAACCCTCTGCTCCCACCCTCAACATGGGTCTCTTGTAATGAGAGTCGTGTCTGCAGCAACGGGTGTGTCGTTAATGTACTTGGAGATGCAAGATTTTATTTCTTTAGCTTTTCCAATATGGGTGCTTTAAATCTATCCACCTACCTGTCTGTTTGCCTATCGGTTGTGTGTATTCATTGTGACCAGCCGTCATTGCAGGGGTGTGTGCTCACTTCCGTGTGTCCCTTGCAGCTGGTCACCCAGGTGAGCATGTTCCCTTCTAGGATTTAGCTGCTACAAACTGGAAGGACCTTAGAAACACCTCTGTTCAGATTATCATATGCTCACTTGCTTTTTGCTCATGTTTATACTTAATGTTCTTTTCACTTAGCATGGATTTTCCCCCCTCCCTATGTCTTTTAACATCTTGTAGATGTTGTTTGCTTCTTCTGTTTAAAAAAATATTTTTGGGTTTTTCCTTCTCAGAACTTTCTTTTCATGCAGTAAGGTTTTTTTTTCCTTCTTAAGCTTTATTTTTTTAAAAAATAATTTTAATGAGCATTTACAGAGATTTTGGATTTCCATTCATTCATTGCTGCACTTCTCTCCCTGCCCAGCCCTCCCCCCTGCCCCCATGCAGTAAGGTTTAATCTGGATCTCCAGATGTTCACAACAAGATAGTTTCACTGGGATAGAAATCACAAAGAAATGATGAACTGAATTAATCAGATTCACTATTTAATCGTTAACTTGATAAACAAAAAAGCTTTTGAATTAGACATTTTAAAATCACAGTGGGCTATCTTAAAAGAAGTAAAACTGAAGATATTTAAGTACAAAGTAATAAGATTACTTTCTTATGGTTAGATTCTTTGAGTTATAGTTAGAGTCTTAGAGTTAGAAGAAACTTTCTTACTCTCAATATTCAAATATATTTTGCTACTTTCATTTCCAGCTTAAGGTGCTGCCAGTTTGTGCTTATGAGGGGAGCTCTGGTGGCCTAGTGGGAAGCAGTTGCATTGTCAACCGAAAAGACATGCGATTTGAACCCAGCAGCATCCCCACAGGAGAAAGTCGGACAGTCTCTTTCTGTGATTTTTCAGCCTCTGAAAACACACCAGAGGGGCAGCTTGGCACTGAAGGGGCAACTGAAAGTTTGGAATTTGAACCCAGCAGCTGCCCCACAGGAGAAGGATGGGCAGTCTCCTCCTGTGTTCACAGCCTCTGAAGACCCACTAGTGGGGCAGTGAGGAGTTGGGGGTGGAGGGTGGGGAGTGGAGGTGACCAGCGAGAAGCTGGAAGGGCAGCTGGGAGCTTGGATTTGTTTGAGTGCCAATAGGAGGGAGATCACCGGTCATGAACTTTGGAGTTTTCTACAATGAAAACAGAACTTAACTATTCATTCACTCCTTCCTTCCACAGATACTTATTTTGGCATAGATTGTGTGCTAGAAGATAGCCATGAACTCTGATTAAGTTGGTCTGCACTCTTACTGTCACTAAGAGATGAGTTTAAAAGTAAAAATAGAAATCAAAAGAGAAAGAAAAGCTTTCTCCAGTATTGAAACTAGGGAAATCAAGCAAGACCGTTTTCAGGAACTGAGACATCGTGCTTGTAGGAGCATGTGGTTGTCTACTGGCAGTGCTCAGTTCTGACTATAACCATGACTGACTTGTCACCTCTATGTGCTTAGCAAACTAGCAGGGACAATTAGACATGGATGACACTCTTCCCAATCATGAATACAGTTTGCTCAGACTGTACTTTCCCTGTCTACTTGTGGTACAGATTTTTAATTTGAATAAAATAAAGACAGTTTTATATCAGGTTTTTGTCCCTCACTAGTTCCCGATGTGGTTTAGAAAATGCTTTCTCCTTTTATGGGATGTCATTCCTTTTCTCATCTCGTGTTTCTCAGCACAGAGGCATGGCAAATCAAATATCGAACACTGTCTGGCATAATAAGACTTTTTAAACTCAAAGCAGTGTTTGTCATTTTCACTTTGTGCGCAGTGAGCTAAGCAGGGAAACCTTTCAGATTGGCTGTGTTCATCAGTAACCATGTGACAGGGTGGGAAGACTTGTTGAGTGTCACTGAGTCAGAACTGATTCATAGCTGACCCTCCGGTGGGTTTACAAAGGCAGTAAATTGCACAGGAGGAGATTGCCCACCTTTCTTTGGCAGAGCTGCCAGTAGATTTGAACTGCATGCCTTTGAGTTGGCAACACAGTTTGTTACCATTAAGCCACCAGAGTTGTTAAATCTGCCATGTCTTTATTTTTCTTAATTTTTATTTTATACTAGTTTCCTTTAAAAATTCATATACATTGTTTTTCACACTGAATCTTTCCCATTTCCTTTATCCATCCCTCCTTCCACCCCTCAAATTGTACAACCCTGTGATTAAGCCCCTACACCCCTCCACACCCCTTTGCTCCCCCCTTGGATCCTCCAACATGCTTTACTAGTTACCTTTTTATTTCTACAGTAATGGTCTTACACAATATTTGTTCTAATATAAGGGACTGTGTTCACGTAGCATAATACCCTCCAGTCTCTCCCAAGTTATCAAGTTAGGTACTGATTTTCAAGATCATTGCTCCTGCATGCTGTGTAGTATTCCATCATGTGAATGTACCATCATTTCTCAATTCATTTGTTTGTGGTTGAACATTTGGGCTGTTTCCGTGTTTTTTTGATGGTGAATAATGCTACTGTGAACATTGTTGTATAAATCTCCTTTTGTGCTTCATTCTCTCAGGGCATATTCAGTGGAATAGCTGGGTCATCTAGAATTTTTATATTCAGCTTTTTGAGGAAGTGCCAGTTGCTTTCCAGAGTGGTGTACCTATCTCTCCACGTTTTCTCCAACATTTATTATTTGCTATTCTGTTACGCTTTGCCACCGCTACTGTGGTGAGATGGTGTCTCACGTGGTTTTAATTTGCATCTCTCTTATTGTCAGTGATTTTGAGCATTTCTTCATGTGTCTGTTAACTCTGCCATGTCTTGAAGAAGACTTAGAAGATCTGTGTGGTTCAAAGCTCCACTAAAAACTGACAGGGCATCTTTTCACCAAAGCACGATAGTTGCATTTCCATCTGTCATACTTTGTTTAGACTCCTGATTGGAGGAACCTGTTTGGCCATCCTTCTGGTCTGCACCTGTGACTAGTGATCTTGAAATAAGCTTGTGTTTTTCTGAGAACTAGCTTTTTCTTGGCCTGTTTTATGGACAATCCAAGTATTCCTCTGTATTTTCATTTTTGGATGGATTTTGAGTATCCCAAGATTGTAAATGGAAGTACCTCCTGAAACCTCGTGATTTCAGTTGTTGTTACTGTGTCTGGTTGAATTGGAACTGACCCATAGCTAACTCTCCAGCGGGTTTTCAGAGGCAGTTAATTGCACAGAAGGAGATCGCCTGTCCCTCTCCCGCGGAGCAGCTGGTGGATTTGAACCGTGTGCTCTTAGTATGGCAGTGCAGCTTCTTACCAGGAGGCCACCAATACCCCATGATTTTAGTTAGTGAAACCCAACAGATCCAAGTTTATCTTGACTAATGCCAGTTATTGGCTAGCTAGCATAGACACTGGTCAGGAGAGTAAGTACCCCCGCATATGCCTGAGCACTTCTGTTGTTAGATGTCACTGAATATCGAGTGTAACAGCAGAGAACTGTCCCCACTCAGGGCCATCCTCGGCCTCTGCTGTGCCTGAGCCCTTAGTGCAGCCACTGTGTCAGTCTGTCTTTGTGAAGGTCATCTGTTTCCCTCTGGCCCTTCCGTTCTCCAAGCACGATGCTCTTTCCAGGGACTGGCCTCTCCTGACTATAGACCCCCAGGACATATGAGGCAAAGTCTCATCTCCCTACCTCTAGGGAGCACCCTGGCTTCACTTTTTCTAAGACAGGTTTGTCTGTTCTTTTGGTAGTCCATGTTATTGCTGCTGTTGTTGTTTGCTTCAAGTGGGAATCGACCCATAGCTGACCATCCACCAGGTTTTCCCAGGAGGAGGTTGTCCATCTTTCTTCTGCAGAACAGCTGGAGGATTTGAATTGCCTGATTTTGGTTGACAGCGCAGCTCCTTACCCACTAGGCTACCTGAGCTCCCTGCAGAAGTGAAAAGGGACCACTGATGGGAGTAAGACCACCAATAATAAGGGAGACTAACCTCCTATTATACTATAAACTCCGGTGTGGTATTTAGTATGACTTAAAGGTAATGTTAATACAGTTTTTTATTATTAAAATGATAGACTTGTAGTGTATGTTCTTTCTTCATTTGTAATAAGCTAAAACACCTCTTTGGTATTTTTTCAGAGCCAGGCCAAGTCTGTTGCAGAACAGAAGAGATTCCCATTTGCTACTGACAATGACAGCACGAATGAAGAATTAGGTAAGGCAAGTGTTAGAGTCCCATCATGCATGTGTGATGGTGTTTGGTGCAGAGCAGGATGGCAGGGTAGGCTGGGGGAAATAAGGCCGAAGAGGCTATGCCGCCACTGCTTGATGTAGGGCAGGGAGTTTTGTTCTTCTGAGATTCCCATTTATTACATGGTGGTTAAGAAAGATGTGGCTGAAGTGGCCTTTGAGGGTTTTTCCAGCCATGTTTCTGTGGAAATGAATACTGTTCATCGTTCATAAAAGGACTATTTGTGTACCAGTATCAGATGTGAATGATAATAAATTGACAGATGGTGCAACCACGGAAGACTTACCCATCTACGTAACAGAAGAGCTCGGCTGAAGCTCCCGAGGCCAGTCAGCTCATGCCGGCTTGAAGGATGTGGGTGCCAACAAACTGAATTCTTTCAGATCTGCAGGTGTGGACTCGAGTCTGACCTGCTCAGCCATTACTTGGGCAAGCTGGTGTCACAGTGTCAGATAAGCCTGAGCATGCCTCGCTCACTCACAGACCACCGACAAGGGACAGAGGCTGAGCTGGAACACTGTAGCGGACAAGCTGGTGTCATGGTGTTAGATGAGCATACCTCACACATCCTAGACCAACGTACAAAGCAGCAGAGGCTGAGCTGACACATTGCAGTGGACAAGCTGATGTCACACTGTTAGAGGAGCATGCCTCTCTTGTTCCTAGACCAGCCGACAATGGACAGAGGCTGAGCTGGAACAGAGCAGTGGACATGGTGTCAGATGAGCGTGCCTCATTTGATCCCAGACCTCCTGATGAAGGATAGAGACTGAACTGAAACACGGCAGTGGGACGTAGTGTCAGATGAGCATGCCTTGCTTACCTCAGACCACTTGACATGGGAGCAGAGGCTGAGCTGAAACACGGCAGTGGACAAGCTGGTGTTAGGGGGTCAGATAAGCATGACCCCCCGACATGTGAGCGGAGGCTAAGCTGAATACGGCAGTGGACAAGGTGCTCTCCTGGGTGTCAGATATGCTTTGGCATGTCACGCTCTTTCCCAGACTGTCTTATGATCATTTTAACACTTCTTCAGACATCCATGTTTCATAGTGAGATGATCCACTTCTCTACATTATCTCCTTCCTTCTTTGAGGGCCGATAATTGAGACATATCTTGAAAAGTGGTAATTACTTTTTTTTTTGTAATTACTTTTTAGGGAGCTCTGGTGGCACAGAGCGTTTAGTGTTGCTACTCAAGGGATCAGTGGTCTGAATCCACCAGCTGCTACTCTGCAGAAAGACGTGTCTCTTCCCATAAAGATTTTCAGCCTTGTAAACCCAGTTGGGATTGACTCTGTAGCAGTGTGGACACTAGTCGGTGGCAATTTTTGAGGAGACTTGAGAATTAATTATTCTTTTCTAAGCTTTTTCAGTTTGAAAGCAATTACAAAAACAGACCAGATTACAAAAAATTATCATGATTAACACCCTCGTTCATTCCTCTAATAATAAATCTGTTGATCTGGTCTCTTAGTTGCCAGCATTTCCACCTTCTACAGAATGGGTGGTCTTTTTCTTCATTCCATCTCACAGATGAATCTCACAACTTGAATGGTCACAAAAAGTTGTTTGCTTCTTTGGAGCATTTGCCAACAGAGTAGACCTCATGAATCAAATCTTCCATGCAGATGATGCCATATTTACCAAGAGATCATGCAATCAAAATGTTTCCTGTCCAAGACATTTGCCTCTTAGCGATTTTGCCAAAATCAACGCTTATAGAACAGTTTGTTTACAGACTTCCAGTTTGGGCACCCTCTGAGAGTTATGGTTCCATGATCCTCGGCATGTTATTTAAAGCTTTATTGAGTCTAACAAAGGTGCCATTGAAGATCTAGCAAAGGAAAAAGAGCTGCAACACCTTACGACCTTTGGGTTCACACCATTGATACCTCGGATCCTGATGACAAATGCTAATTTGAGTTCTGCAGGTACATAGAAGTTGCCAGCTTTTCTTGTCATCTGAGCCATTCAAATTTCAGTTCTGTACATCGGCCTATGTTCTTTGTGGTAGCTCTTAGCCTTTTCACAGATAAGCTTGCTCCTTGCAGTTTGAAGCAACTTTTGGGCAAACTTCTTGTGCAAGTGCTTGACCCTTAATTTCCATGACATCCCTTTGCTTTTTCTTAAGGGTTTGTGGCACTGCAGGAACTTTCCCCCCTCTCCCCTTTCTCTACAGTGGCTTCCATGGTTCCAAGGAGGGGGGAAAAAGGAGAATTAGTTTCTCTTTAAGCCTCCATATTTAGGCTCTTCTGAAGTCTGAGCATGTTCTCTGTGTTTTCATGGGTACAACCCTGCCATACCTGCTTGGTATAGGCCAAGCCAGAACTGGTGTGACTTTCTGCCACCATTGATTTTGTTTTTTGTTCTGTCAAAGTATGCTTTGAGGGGATGCAGTTATTCTCCATCTAAAAGTAAGCATTTCAGCAGTGAAATTACAGTTAGTAGAGGTCTTGATAGATGTCCAACTGTTTCCTGTGTATCTTTGGACATAAAAATATTCAAGTCCTTACAGTTATTTCTGTTTACACAAGTTTTGGGCTAACGTGAGTTTTAAATGAGTGCTTCTAAATTTTTCCTTATAAAATATTTACATTTCAGTGGCAAGAGTGGAATTAAAAAGCTTAATCATGGCTTAGCTCTGGTGGCCTAGTGGCAAGAAGCTGCACTGCAATCACGAAGGCATGCGGTTTGAGGTCACCAGCTGTTTCACAGAATGATGGACAGTCTCTTCCTTGGTGATTAACTGCCTCTGAAAACCTGCTGGAGGGTCTGTTATGGGTTACTTCTGGTTCAACGGTACTCAACAATAACAACAAAATCATGGCCTGTAATTTAAAACTATTCCCAAAAATATAAAATGTGTCCCCTAAAACCATTTTTCCTTCTGGCTTACTCATTTATTTATTCATCATTTAACACATTTACTGGTTGTGGGAGGATGAATAGAAAATTCTAGAACTCTTGATATGAACAGAATCTTAAAAAAGATTTCCTACAGGTTTGTTTATCAGAAAGTTAGGAAGTGTGAGTGAACACAGGTCCTTCTCACATGGTGATCTTTCAAAAACTACACCTACTATCTTTTTTTAATTTTTATTTCATTTTTAAATTTTATACTGGTTTACCTACAAAGTTTGTATACATTGTTTTACACACTGCATCTTTCCCCTTTCCTTTACCCACCCCTCCCTCCACCCTTCGAATTGTGTGACCCTGTGATATAGGAGGAATCCACACTGTTTGCTGTCTAGCCCTTGGCACGATGGACATGATCAACCTGTGTGTATGTGTGTGTGTATGTGTGTGTGTGTGTGTCACATGTGGATAGGAGGAATTTGGGCTATCTGCTGTCCAGCCCTGGGCACGGTGGTGGGCATGTCCATGGCTCATGTGGAGTAAAGTAGGCTCCTGAGCTGACAGCTCCCTGCATACTGTCCATTGTTCCCACCTCATACACCTCCTGTGTAGCTTCCTTATGCTGCATTCCTTTGTCTGTAAAATGGGCCAGTAAGTGCAGTTGCATCAGTGCAAATAAGGAATAAAAATAATTAGGACAGTGCCTGCCACATCTTACAGGTGCAACATAAAATCTGTTATTATTATTTTCATCATTTTATTGCTTTTTCACAAATAATACTAGCTCGCTACTAAAAATGTCTGTTTTCTGGATTTTAGGTAGTTGAATGATATTAACATTTTGAGAATTTGGTCATAATATTTTTTCCAAAGAAATTCTTTTTCCCCCTCTTTTTACTTGAGAAATGTTCCCAAAATCTCTTGTGTTGTTATGAGGCTCAGTATTAGTAAATTCTACTTTTTTTTTTTTTAAGTCCTTTTTGGAAGATATTCCCAATCTTCCCATACATTTTGTGTTCCTACTCCTTTCAGCTGCCAAGGAATTGGAGCAATTCATGCCAGGAAAAATTTTAGTTGCCTTAGTGAAAAATCCTTGAAACACAGTAAGTTGGAAAAACATTCTGCTGGGTGAAATATGTCAGTCACAAAAGGACATGTGTTGTATAAGTCTACTCTACAATATGAACTTCTTATATTAAAAAGCTAAGGAAAGGTTTCGGGACAGAAAGAAATATCCTTTGACAGTTACCCTGAGAGGGAAGGAAAAATGAGTAAATGAATAACAGTATGCAGTAAGGGGATGATCTGCCTAATATCACAAGAAAAGCAGAGTGTGATTACAGTGTGGGCATTGTAATTCATGCCAGAAAACAAAATATGTTTGATTGGGTAGAAAACCAATTAACTTTAGAAAGTTATAGTCAAATAATGAGAAAGGGAGAAAATGTACAAAGAAAAAATATTTTTCTTGTCTTCTTAAACATTTTTTATTGGTTTGCATAGTCATTCATATACATTGTGTTTCACTTGTGTACTTTGTGTCTAATTTTGTCTTTCGGATACATTGTTTTTCATTTATATGTTTTATGTTGTTGTTATTGTTAAGTGCCATTGAATTGAGTAGCACTCATAGCAACCCTATGAACAAAAGATTTGAAACCTGTTCTATAACTGTCCTCCTTTCTTTGATGTTTATAGAATTTCCAAAGGTCTTCTGTTTAATAAGTGAATGTGTTAAGTTAATGGACTTAAGGAAGGAATCAGAGAGAAGAGAGATAGGCACACCCATGTTTATTACGGCTTTGCTCACAATAGCAAAGAGTTGGAAACAACCTAAGTGACCATTAACAAAGGAATGGGTAGAGAAGCTGTAGTAAATTCACACAATGGAATACTATGCTGCATTGAAAAACAAAGAACTCATGAATATTATACAAAATGGGTGACCCTGGAGGACATAATGCTGAGTGAAACATCTTAGTCACAAAAGGACTAATACTGCACAGTGCCACTGTTTAAAATTGGACTGACATCTGGGTTGAGGGGGAACCTAAGAAAAGAGAGGATAAATAATGTATACTACATTGTAACAGATGAGGGAGAGAACTGTTTAAAAGGAATATAGAATTAGGTAGTATTTTCATTACAAGATTACAGAAAAAGAAATGTGTATTAAAGTGGATAGTGGACTGGGGGGATAGTATAACAATGAAAGAATTTTTTTTCCTTCCAAGAGAAAAATGAACTAGAAGGAGGGGAGGGGAGGGTGGAAAATGTGCAACAATGAATGAATGGAGGGAAAATTAAATGGAAAGAATATTCTGCAAAAATATATATATATTGCATTAAAAAATCTTTAATCAAAAAATATAAAGAGAAAGTTTACCACAGCTTTATTGAAAGGGGGGGAAGGGCAGCTCCCAGATGAGGTTCCTCATTCTGATGATGTAGAATGGGCAGTCACACCATGATCTTATTGGGGAGGGTTTTTATAACAATCTCTTTAGGGAGGGACATTCCACTGTGATTTATGGTTCACTATTAGTTCTGCCCGGTGGATGAGGCCATTCACTCTTCTTGACGTGTGTATTCTTTGAATTCTTCATTTTCCCCTTTGGCCCCCTTGTCCAGATTTAACAGAATGTCAGTCCTGCTTCTAAGCCTGTCTTAATCTGGGAGCTCTACCAAACTGTGTCCACCATGGGTAACCATTATGGTAACCATTTGACATGTCAGTGGCATATCATTCAGTAACACAGCTAGCTCAAATTATCTCAGTACAGCAAAAGGACAGACCAGTGCCATTATTGTTGTTATGTGCCGTTGAGTTGCTTGTGACTCATAGTAACCCTATGTACAACAGTTCTGAACCCTGCTCTATCCAGTGCCAAGCTTATTGTCTCTGACACACCTACCCTCATTACCTCAGTCACTGAGTAAATTCATCTCATCAAGGGTCTTCCGCTCCTGCACTGTCCCTCTATCCTCCCAAGCATGATGTCCCTCTCCAAGGACTGGTCCCTCCTTAGGACATGTCCATAGTATGTGAAATGGAGCTTCAGAATCCTTGCCTCCAGGAGCAGCCTGGTTTCACTCTCTCTAGGACTTACCTGTTTGTTTTCCTAGCAGTTCACAGTATGTTCAATACTTTTTGCCAGCACCACAGTGCAAAGGCATCAGTTTTCTTTCTATCATCCTTAGTCATTGTCCAGTGTTCTGACCCAAAGCAAGTTATTGCAAAGACTGGCCTGGATCAGGCACACCTTAGTCTCCAGACTGACATCATTGTTCTGGAGAGGTCCCTGGCAGCACACTTTCCTAATCCAATTCATTTTTTTATTTCCTGGCTGCTGGTTCCAAGAGTGTTGACTGTGGAACCAGGCAAACTAAAGCTGTTAACAGTCTCAATCACTTCACCATCTATCACAGTGCTGAGAATCTTTGTTTTCTTTTTTTTTATTATTATTAGTTTTAATGAACATTTACAGAGATTTTGGGTTTTCATTCATTCATTGTTGCACTGTTTTCTCCACCCTTCTCCCCAGTTCGTTCTTCTTTCCCACCCCCCCCGAATGTCTGTTTTAATTGTCCAGTTGCCACAGTGCTGCTTGTCAAAGCCACTTCTGATTAATCTCCTTTGTCAGTGTGTCCCTTGCCATTCCCTATCACTCCTCCCTGAGAGAGACTTCACCCTGATTCATAAGGAAAAGGGGATGGCGTATTCTCTTAGCTACTTCCTGCTGTAAAGGGACACTGTGGGTTTCAGGGTGAAGGTCTTCTCTCACTACTCTAAAGGGCCCCTTTGGCAGTAGGAAACACATAGACTATTATGGAGATTGATTTTGGAATTTGAGCTTCAATCCATATTGAAGGCTGTAGTGCTTGACCTTCTGCAGCATACACTCCAAGTCCTCCTCAGTTTCAACAAGCAGGGTTGTGTCATCTGCATAACATAGATTGTTGATGAATCTTCCTCCAATCCTGATGCCACATTTCTCTTCATAGACCCCAGCCTCTCGGATGATCCGTTCTGCATATAGATTAAAAAGGTATGGAGATAGAACACATCCCTGGCATACACACTTCCCGATTTTGAACCAGGCAATGTTTTCTTGCTCTGTCCTGATGACTGCCTCTTGGTCAGGTTTCACATAAGCACAATTGAGTGTTCTGGAATCCCCATTCTTCTCAGAGTCAGTCACAGTTTGTTATGATCCACACAGTCAAACGCCTTTGCATAGTCAATGAAACACAGATAGTCATTCCTCTGGTATTCTCTGCTTTCAGCCAAGATCTACCTAACATTAGCTATAATATCCCTAGTACCATGGCCTCTTCTAAACCCAGCTAGCACTTCTGGCAGTTCTCTGTTGAGTGTTTCAGTTGAATCATTTTAGAACAATGATTTTTCCAAACACAATTAACACTGCCCTAGGGCTCAACCGACTTTTAAATACGATATTCTGCCCACCTGGTCCTGACTGACTTAAACAAGAGGCTTTCAGGCTGCAGCTGATTGTTTGCTAAATGTATTTTGTACTGTCTTCATATTAAACACATAATTATTATTTTTTAAGATAAAATAGGGAAGATCGTTTTATTACCAAGGTGCATCCTTAAAGGCACAGACCACCCTCCAAAGGAAATATGGAGAAGAAATCTAAACAATACTCATTTAAGAGATGAGAAGACTAGGGCAAGATAATCTAGAATATTACATTTTTTTAAAGACAAGTGAGACAGTTTAGTTAGAATCTGCCATATTTTAAACACTTGTGACTTTTAATTCTGACTACCCCATACACTTACTGATCAGATGTACTCATCTTTAGTGGATGTTTTGTTATGCCCCAAATCCAGTTCCCCCCAAGTCACCAAGGAGCCGACACCGATGCAAGGGCAAGAGGGAATTTATTTCAGATTCGAATCCGGGCCGCGTTCCAAACCGTGCCCATACAACAGGGAAGATGGCCGCGGCCCCGATTCTGGGCTGTCCTGCCCATTTAAAGGGAAAAGCCCGCAAAAACAGGGTGATACAGGATTGGCTGGTTCACAGGAAGGGCGTGAAAACAGGGTGATACAGGATTGGCTGGTTCACAGGAAGGGCGTGAAAACAGGGTGATACAGGATTGGCTGGTTCAAAGGAAAGCCCGCGAAAACAGGGTGATACAGGATTGGCTGATGTTTGGGTGGGGGCTCTTTTCTCCCTTTCCCCACAGCTTTCAGTTTACTGCTCTAGAGGCACATATATATTTTAAAATGACATATTGGTTACAAAATGGAGTCCCTCAGTTTAAATAGCATTTTGACTATTTTAAACATAAGTATGGGAAGACTGTCAATGCATAGTAGTGTTGTGTGTATTCACAGCCTTTTGTAGTATTTTAAATTTCTGTTCATGTTACCTTAATTTGCAATCTAAGAATTCAAATATGTGATTTTATTTAAGTATTTCTTGTAACTTTCACTGTAAAATCACATTGAATTGTTATTTGGTTTTTACTGAGCCTTATTAATAGCTCTTTTCATATCTGGAGAGAGAAACAATTCAGGATTTGGAAGTGAGTGATGAGTTAAGGAAACAGAATTCCTCTTTGTAGGCAGTCTTTTACAGTAGAGTTTAATAATTTAAAGAGACCCAGACGATTGAGTAGTGTCAAGTTAGAAGACTACAATGTTGTCTTATTCTCTTCTACCTTTTTTTTTAAATTGCTTTCAATTCCTGGGGCCTTGTTTTCAGATTTAGCAAAGACTGATTCCACGCTGAGTTCTGCCCTCATGCCTATAATACTTCTGTGTTTGTTTCATAGCTATCGCCTATGTGTTGATTGGCAGTGGTCTCTACGATGAAGCAATAAGGCATTTTTCAACAATGCTTCAGGTAATTGCTTATAATTATGCCATTTCCTTTTATTGTCATAACAGAAACATGGGTTTAAACATGACAGTACTAAAATGAAATGCCTGTTTCTAGACTCTTGAGGAGGATGAATGAAATCATGCTGACTGTGCACTCTGTGATGCTGGCCTTGTGCCTGGCCCTCATTTCATCTTTGCCTATTGCTTTATGTCAGATGGGGAAGATGAGGTCTCATGGGGTCAGTCAGTGTGTTCACGGTCTCCCAACCATCCGCTGGCAGAGTGAAATTCAAGTGAAGGCTGAGAAGGAGCGGCTTGGTCTCAGCCCTCTCTGCTTTTCTACTGCAATGCTTTTCATGAGCTGCAAGTTACAATGTTTCCTATCTTCAGAAGAATTCATCTATATGATGACTTATGTTAAATTCATAGATTTCTTTCTCACCTTAAAGGATAATTCTGAGCCTCATCAATGGGAATATATGGGCCTTTATTAATTCAACACTGAATGAAAGCCTGGCTAAGGTTAAATGCATTAATACACAGGTACAAGAGTTGCAGGGAGCTTGTACTGAAACCTGACCTCAATGACTGCTTGCTAACCCAGAAGCCCTGCTTCTCTTGTGGTTTGAATCCACCAGGTGGGCGATGTCCTCCCGTGTGGTTTACATTCTCTGAAAACCCACTGGAGGATCTTAGCTGTGAGTCAGTTCCACCTTGTAACAGTGGGTTTTAGGTTGTTTTTGGTTTGGTTTTTTTTTTTTTTTTTGTGGATCACAACAAATTGTGACTAGCCTTGAAAAGAATGGGGAATCCCAGACTCTTAATTTGGCTTATGTGAAATCTATCCTTGAACCAGGAAGCAGTAGTTAGAACAGAGCAGAAAAACACTGCATGGTTCAGGGTCAGGAAAGATGGTTGTCAGGGATGTATCCCACCTCCATACCTTTTTATTCTATATGAAAAGATCATTCAGGAGGCTGGGTTTTATGAGGAATAATGTGGCATCAGGATTAGAGGAAGACTCATCAACAACCTGCATTATGCAGATGACACAGCACTGCTTGCTGGAATTGAGGAGGACCTGACGTGCTTGCTGAAAAAGGTCAAGGATGACAACCTTCAGTATGGATGGAAGCTCAACATCAAGAAAACAAAGATTCTCACCACTGAGCTGATTAGCAGCTTCATGATAGACAAAGAAGAAACTGAGATTATTGATGACTTCTTCTTGCTTGGTTCCACGATCAGCACTCTTGGCACCAGCAGTCAGGAAATTAAAAGATGAATTGCAATGGGAAAGTCAGCTGTCTCGGATGTTTCTAGGGTACTGAAGAGCAACAGTGTCCATCTAGAGACTAGGATGTGCCTGCTCCAGGCCATGGTCTTCACAATTAGTTGTTATGCATGCAAGAGCTGGACAATAACTAAGGATGATAGAAGAAAGATTGATGCCTTTGAGTTGTGGTGCTGGAGAATAGTGTTGAACATGCTGTGGACTGCGAGGAGAGCAAACAGATCTGTCCTGGAGAGGGTGAAACCAGGCTGCTCCCTGGAGGCAAGGATTTTGAGGCTGCTTCTCACATACTTTGGACATGTGGCCAGGAGGGACTAGTCCGTAGAGAAAGACATCATGCTTTGAAGGGTGGAGGGACAGCACAGGAGAGGAAGACCCAGGATGAGATGGATTCAATCAGTGACTGGGATTAGGTCTTTTGGAGGTGATAAGACTGGCTCAAGGTAAGGTAAGTTTCAAAGCTAATGTACATAGAATTGCTATGAGTCGGAGATGACAGGATGGCACATAGCAACAACAAGAAGTATCAAATTTACTTAAGTATCAAGTTGGAACCTACTAATAGCAGACCCTCTCTCTTGGGTTTGTGAGGCTTTAAATCACTTTGGCAATTGACCATCTTTCTCTTATGGAGTCAGTAATGGATTTGAACTACCAGAGAGGGATGACCTTTGAGTAGCAACACAACTCCCTCTAGGCTTGGGCACCAGAGGTTCCTTTGTTTAGTTTAGAGAAATATCTAATTACATGGTACATACATAGATGGTAAACTTTTGTTGTGTGTTATGCACATATATATTCTATACTAGATTACAAGGTAAAATATTCTTATATATTAAATTGAACAAAGTTGGCCTATTATTGCAGGAGCTGAGGCACTGAATAGCTCTACCTAGAGAAGTGACCTGACTTCATGTGGATCTAAAGAAAAAATTATTATGGTTGTGTGCTTTCAAATTGGAACTGATCCATAACTCACCCTGCAGAAGAAAGGAAATTGTAAAGACAAGGCTGAAATCAGTGGAACGGAAAACAGAAAAACAACTTTAACCATCAAAATGACCAGGAGCTGTTCTTTGGAAGGGTCAATAAAATGACAAAATGTGACAAATTTAAGAAAAGAAAGAGGTTGTTGTTGTTATGTGCC